GCTAAGGAGCAATGGATTTGCAGCTCCCTCTGTTGCTTTTTATCAGAGGATATGATTAAGGGCCATCCTGTTCTTGGCTCAAACACATTCGGGTCTTCATTCTTGTGTGTTTCCTTCATTCTTGTGTGTTTCCTTCATTCTTGTGTTTCCTTCACAAACATAAAGCACCTACTGCTGGGTACTAAGCTTGGCAACCCAGTAAATTATCAAGACCCACTGAGAGAACCGGTGCCCGAGACCTCACAGATGCCCTGGTTAAACTCTTCACATTGGACACAAGGGGTTGCTAAGGTCCAGAGAGGGAATGACATTTGCATATGGTCATACAGCAAATCATTGTTTTGTGTTTTTAAAATTTTTTACAGCTTTATTAAGACATAATTGACATATAACATTGGGTAAGCTTAAGGTGTACAATGTGATGATTTGATATATGTATATATTGTGATATGATCACCAAAACAAGGTTAACACATGTATCATCTCACATAATTACAGTTGTGTGTGTGTGTGTGTGTGTGTGTGTGTGTGTGTGTGTGTGATGAAAACTTTTAAGATCTACTCTCTCAGCTGCTTTCAAATATGGAATACCGGATTTGAAACTATGGTTGCCATGGTTGTACATTATATCCCCAGAAGTGTTTCTGTGTTTTTTCAGTGATGATATACAAAGGACCAACAAGCATATGAAAAGACACTCAACATTACTAATCATTAGAGAAATGCAAGTCAGAACCACAATGAGATCCCTCCATGCCCATTAGGATGATTACTATAAAAAAGAAACAACAACAACAGAAAATAGCACAGGTTGGTGGAGAAAGTGGAAGGCTTGTGCACTTGGTGGGGATGTTGGTGGGATGTGAAAGGTAAAACCATGGAAAACAGGATGGTGGTTCCTCAAAAAATTAAACAGAATTACCATATGATCCAGCAATTCCACTTCTGGGTATATACCCCCCCAAATGGAAAGAGAGTCTCAAAGAGATATCTGTATCCCCATGCTCAGGGCTGCATTATTCACAGTAGCTACATGTGGAAGCAACCTAAGCGCCTGATGAATGGAATAGCAAACTGTGCTGTATACATGCAATGGAATATTATTCAGCCTTTAAAAGGAAGGGAATTTTGCACTATGCTATAATATGAATGAACCTTGAGGACATTATGCTAAGTGAAGTAAGTCAGTCACAGAAAGACAAATTCTGCATGCTTTCTATGACTTAAATGAGATACCTAGGCAGGTCAAAATCACAGAGAGAGAATGGTGGCTGCCAGAGGGAGGCAGGAGGGGACAGGAGTTTAAATTTTGTGAGACGAAGAGCTCTGGAGATGGATGGGGTGATGGTTGCACAATATTATTCAATACCACTGAACTGTGCGCTTAAAATGGCTAAGATCATAAATCTGTTCTATGCATTTTCCCACAATAAAAAAATTTTACTTATACAGAGAGTACATCCTTGCTGTAAAAAGTCAAACGATATAGAACAAACTAAAGTCTTCTTGACAACCTCCCCATCTGAATATACAGCTTTGTACCCATGTGTCTTATTTACTCCTCACGCCCCCGTATGATTTAAGTATTACTATGATCTCCATTTTCCAGATGAGGAAACTGAACTGCAGAGAAGTTAGGGACCTTTCCCAGAGCCAGGAAGTGCTCGAGTCTAGATTTAAACTCAGGCAGATGGAGGAAAAGACCATGCTCTCACCCAATGCCCTCTCGGCCTTCTGTATGCCCAACTGCGCTGGACACGGAGGACATTAGGGACTCCCAGCCCAATGGAGTGGGCAGACACAAAGAAAATTACTCTAGCCCCACACAAGAAATGCAAAAGTAAAACTGATGACATCTACACAGCAGAGGCTACTTGTCTTTCTGTCCCAAAGGACAGGTGCTTTTATGAGATGTTACGTTTTTTAAAAAGATGAAATCATAGGTACACCTTTAGCCTTCTTTGTTATTTAGGTCTCAACACAAATGTCATCTTCTCAGAGAGCCCTTTCCAAATCACCCTGGCGAAAACCGCCCTCCACCTTCCACCAGTCACCCTCACCCCCCCTCACTGCATTGTCTTCATAGTGCTTTTCCTTACCTGCTATTCTCCTGTTTGTCTGTCTTCTTTCACTAGAATATCAGCTCTCTAGGAGCAGGGATCCTATCTTGTCTGTTCACCGTGAATCTCCTGGGCCTAGAACAGTGCCTGGCACTTAGTAGTTGGCTGTGTTAGTTTCCAAGGGCTGCCATAACAATATACCACAAACGGGAGGGTTTAAAACAGCAGACATTTATTTTTTTCACTGTCCTGGAACTAGCAATCTGAAATCACGGTGTTGGCAGGATCAAGCTCTCTCTTGAAGGTTCTGGGGAAGACTCCTTCCTTGTCTCATTCTTTCTCCCTGGTTTGTAGCTGCATCTCTCCAGTTTACTACTGTCGTCACACGACCTTCTTCCTCTGTGTCTCTGTTTCAAAATCTCCGTTTTTACAAGAACCAGTCATTAGATTTAGACTCCACCCTAATCCAGTATGATCTCGTCTTAGCTTGATTACATCTACCAAGACCCCATTTCCAAATAAAATAACATTCACAGATACCAAGGATTAGGACTTCAACAAAATTTTTGGGGGGGGGCACAATTTGACCCACAAGAGTAGCTAATAAATATATTGAACAAATGATTTAGTGTTCTCTGAAAAACTGCTATAATATTATGAACTCTCAAATGAGTTCAGGCAAAGGCTTTGGAAGATATCATTCTGCCCAGGTTTTGTGATGATCAAACAGTACATAAAATGTCTTTTACTAGCTATAGTAACTAAAGTGTCCAGGTCAAGGGAAATAATGGCTCCAATGTTCTAGGCACAGATTCAACCTCAGGTGGGATGTGAAATTTTAGGTCCCACATTCTCAGTGTTCTTACATATTTAATTTATGAGAGCAATTTAATGGCATTATAAAGTTTGGACAAGAAAATCAACCATAATCCCACTACCCTAACGTACTTTGGGGAAAATTCAAGAGGGGAACTTTCCAGGTAGAAGAAACAGCAAGTACAAAAGCCTTGAGGCATCCATGAGCTTGGTGTGTTCAAGGAGCAGAGAAGGCAATGCAGCTGGGGGTAGCAGTGGTCGACAGGATGATCCAAGCCTCTTACTGGACATCTTTGTGGATGTCCATCCAGCTCACAAGTCAGCAACCTTCCATTATCTGCTAATTGTCCTCCAAACACCTTACCTTCCACACGCCCTCTGCAAGCACACTAACCCATGAGGAGGATGTGGTGTGGACCTGGTGTGCGTGAAGAGGGGAGGGGATGATGGATACAATTGGGTCCTCTCTCCAGAGCATTTGGAATTGGGACAGGATAAGGGTCAAGCAGTCTCTGGAAAGTTCTGTGAACCTGGAAGCTGTGAGAAAGGTGCTGTGTTCTCCACTTCAGCCAGACACAGAGGAGGGAGGTCAATTGGAAGAGCAACAGGGAATCAGAGCTGAGTCAACAGTCAGCTTCCTGGTGCATCCATCCTGACATCCAGCAGCATTCCTGCCTCAAGTTCCAGGGCACTTGACGATATTCCTATCATACATTCTCAGTTCTTTAGCATAAGTTGATTTGGGTCAATCAGTAAGAGAAGTGTTTTGAGTAAAAGAATTCTGTGGTCAAATAATTTGGGTAACATTGAGTTAAATAAAATTTAACAGCTTTCTATCTGCAGGACTTCTCAGAGCCTTTAATAGGATTGTGTACAACCAAAAAGGAGCTCTCCAAAAACAAAACCGAAACAAAACAAAAAACCCTCAAGTGAGCCGCATTTCCTACATTGATTTCCCAGGTTACACTGGGAAAGAGTGTAACAGTGTTTAAGCTGGGAGGTTTTCAGCTTCCATTTTGGTTGAGTCCTGGAAGGTTGAGAATGATAGAGGAGCGCCCAACTATTCTGGCCACCAGGAACAAGCCTGTTATTGAAAACACTCATTGCAGCAAGTAATTTTATCCAATAGAGAAGGATAAGGCCAGAGAGAGAGCAATACCTGAAGGGACAGAGAGAAAGAATATAGTTATCTTCTGGTTGTTGTCCATTGGGTCCAGCCTTTCGGTGAAATTACTGAAAGCTCAGAATCATTCCAGCACATTTGTCAACTCCAGAATCACATTCCAATAATGGATGTGCTCACTCATGCAAGCCGCCTAAAATGTATGCCCATCCACAAGATGATTTATGTCTGAATGTGGAGACTGAGACTCCCCTGCTCGGATAATTCAGAAAAGGATTAGATAGAAACTATAGGCTTCACAACTGACCCCCAAGCACCCTAGGGCTTGCCCTTCATCTCTCTTGTGTCCACCTGTCACCTGCTGTGTTGGGCGCCCCAGAAACTAGCAGGACGGCCTGGCCACCCGGGAACTCGGAGTCTGACGATGCAGGGAATTAAGATCCAAACTGACACCCGACAGAGTGGGGAATGCGGGGCAGAGGGCATTGTGGGGGACAAAAGGGACCCTGGGCTTGGCTAGGTTGGGTTGGGGGCCAGGTCTGAGCTTTATGAGATGCCAGAGGAGGGGGCAGAGATGCCCGGCTCTAGGGGCCAGAGTCATGCCCACCCTTGGGTGGGGAGGCCCGGCGAGCCGGTCCGTGGAGGGCCTCGAACGCCCAGCTCACAGCCCATACTAGACTGCCTATTGTAGACTGGGTGTAGGAAACAGGTTTTATGTGATGTTTATCCATGACAAGCCATTTGTCCACATGCCTCGGTGAGTCATACACCGCCCGGGGCGACACCTACTCCAACTAGGGCTCTACCCGGGCGTTGCAACTGCGCCCTCCTCTGACGCCTGCGCGCGACGTTGGGGTCGAAGGGCACCCACGCCCGCTGGTTCCTCGGCAGAAACCCCGCAGCCGCCCCACCCACGGCCTGACCCCGCCCCCAGGCCCGCCCCTGGGGGCGGAGACGTCGGCAGCGGCGAGCCTGGCCGCGAGAAGAGCGCGGCAGCGGCGCACCGCGTCTGCAGACCCCACGCCCCAGTGCTAGGCGTTCCTACAGCTGAGCGCCAAGACCGCACGGGCGAGTCCCGCAGGGCAGGGGCGGCGCGGTGCCCGGGTTCTCGCACTTGGCGGACCGATGTGCCCGGGTGTCGGGGCGCGTGGACCTGGGCTCGGGTGAAGCTCTGGGAAAGGGCAACACGGCGGCGACGAGATGCAAGCGGAGGAGCCCTGCGCCCCCGGCGCCCCTGGTGCCCCTGGTGCCCCGAGAAGCCAGCGCGCACCCAGTCCCGAGCCGCGCCTGTCCAGCCAGCTGCTGCCCGAGCTCTACACCTTCGTGGCGCGAGTGCTGTTCTACCTGGCTCCCGTCTACCTGGCCGGCTACCTGGGGCTCAGCATAACCTGGCTGCTGCTCGGCGCTGTGCTGTGGATGTGGTGGCGCAGGAACCGCCGCGGGAAGCTTGGGCGCCTGGCGGCCGCCTTCCAATTCCTAGACAACGAACGCCAGTTCATTAGCCGCGAGCTGCGGGACCAGCACCTGCCGGCCTGGGTGAGCTGGGCCGAGCCGGGCGGAGGTCGGAGGTGGGGCGGATGCTGTTAGAGGTTTGGAAAGAACCTGCGGTCGGCCGGGGAGCTGGAGGCGGCAGCTCCGCGATCCGCACACCTGATGCCTCACCAAGCCGGGAGCACAGACCCCTCGCCGCGGCGTCCCTCAGTCTCCTCCCCACCGCCGGTCCGAGGTTGGGGGGGCGTGACTTAGGTTTTACTTAAGGGCCCAGAGCCTGGGAGAAAAGTCACGGGCGGGCCACACCCAGGAAAAAAAAACAAGGGCGTCTGGGACTTTGCAAAGTTACTCAGGAGGGAAGCAGAAGCTTTTCTTCCACCCGCCTGTTGATTCAAAGAAAGAACGCTGGGTGCAAAATTGATCCGCAAATGCAGCAATGACAGAAACTGCAGACTAGTTGCCTCAGCAGAGGTCCGGACAGACAGAGGAGGGCCAAAAGGGGGCCGGGATTGAAGGGATGGGGTGGGAGGCTGGGTCACCAGCTTCTCTCCCTCCCTCTGCCTGGTAGGGATGCTCAGACGTGCCCAGACACATTCACACATTCACACTCCACAACTACAGACCCATCTCCTGGTGTGGAATGGCCTGGACTAGGGTTTCTCAAATGCTTCCGATCCTGAGAATCACCTGGCCCACTTAACAAAAACAAGTTCTGAGCCCACCTTACAACTCCCAGGTGGGACTGAGGCACCTGGGTGAATTTGGGAAACACCAGCAACAGGGGCATTGGGTCCAAGCTTTGGTCTGGTCTGTGGCAAAACTACACTTCTGGGTGCTTCTCTGATTCTTCCAGATACACTCAGGCCCACAGGGAGAGATGACCAGAAGCCACCAGACCCCTCATTTCCTCTGGCCTGGGGCCTTTATTCTAAAATTCAGCCCCACCCTGACAGTAGCCAGCAAAACGAGATGTGCGAGGAATATATTAGAAAGGCCTGTTTATATTTATCTTTAAAACAAGAGAGAAATTAGGCCTTACTATATTAGTTTGCTGTGGTTGCTATAACAAAATACCAGAGACAGACAACAGAAGTTCATCAAGATCAAGGTGTCAGCACGGTTTGCTTCTTCTGAGGCTTCTCTTTGGTTTGTAGATGGCTGTCTCCACCATGTCTTCATATGGTCTTCCCTCTGTAGATAATCTGTGTCCAAATTTCCCCCTTTTATAAGGTCACCAGTCAGATTGGGTTAGGGCCCATCCTAATGACCTTATTTTAACTTAATCACCTATTTAAAGGCCCTGTTTCTAAAAACAGTCACATTCTGGGGTACTGGGGGTTAGGATTTCAACATACCAGTTTGGGGAATATGGTTCACTTCGTAACACTGATATTTAATATATGGATTGACAGTACAGTTTTGTAAATTGGTTTACACATACTGAGGATGAGGGGGCCCAAACCTTCTGCTAAGGGTGCACAATAAAAAAGCACAGTGACCACTTTCCTAGGGTAGCAGCCATGGGAACAGTATTTGAGGCCTATCTCCCAAACTTGGTTATCCTGATTATTCTTTGGGGGCTTGTGATCCTGAAAGATCTGGATCCAGAGAGCAGGCCTGGACCTATCCACACTCCTTGCTCATTGTTGAAGGAGTTTTGGATGCCTGTCAGACCTCTGTTGGGACCCCGTGGTGGCTTCAGTCCATGAGGATGAGCTTGTAAGCCCTCACCAAGGGACAGGCCTCCCTTTCTGCCCTTTCTTGGATTGGGGAACACCTCTAGACACTTAGTTGTGTGCAAAAGGCAGTGTTTCTGAAATTGAGGCAAGGATCAGATCCTGTAGGAGCTTTGACATGCCCCAACCACCACCACCTGCCCCCATGCACATAAACACCAGAAGCAATGTGAAACTAGCCAACAGGGAGCTCAGCCTGATGGGTAAGACAACACAAGAAGCTATCTCACCTCATAAAACAGACCCCAGGCCTGACCCAGCTGGGCATAGGGACACACAGAGGAAGGTGATGGTGTCTCTCCTACCAAGAGGGTAGTCTGGGGCAGGAAGTAGATGCATATAGGTAATTACCATGGAGGTCTCAGAGAAGCCAGAGATAGGAGTCTGGACAGAGTCCAGCCAAGGGTCAAAAGTGTGGAGTGAAGGACATCCCACTTGATTTCCATAGCAGATTGTCCCCAGGCCATAGCCTCCCTCTTCCTTGCCAGAGTTCTGGGAGGGGCCTGGCCTCAGCTTGCATTCTCCAGACTCTCCTGGCTGGTGGGCCGGGCCTGGATTGCCTTTTGGGTTGAGGCAGTGGTGCTGCAAAGGGCATTCCAAGCTGGAGGTGGCTTTCGAGCACAGCATGGCCAGTATACGAGGGAGCCCACGTGCTTTGGTTCGGTTTGGCTGAAGTGTGTAGTAGGAGCTGGTGGACAGGGACCACACTGAGGCGGGCTTGATGGAGGTTGGGCCTAATTCTGAAGGCCACAAGGAGCCTGTGAAAGGCTTTGGAAAGACCCTGTAAAAAGCAGCGTGGGGGGAGGAACGAAGCTGGAGAAGAGAAACCGGATGAGAAATTGATTTAAGCCAAGATGATGGTAGCGGGGTTGGAGGAGAGGGACGAGAGACGTGCAAGAGTGGGACTCTGGGGACTTGGTGGCCTCTAGATTAGTGTGAGGGAGGGATCCAGGAATCTTCCAGACTGTTTTCTGATCTGGGGAGCTGGGCATCCAGAATGAGAAGCAGGTCTGGGAGATTGGTCGTGGGAACGCCTGTGTAGAGTGAGTAACCAGATGCAAGTGTGGGCTTTTAGCCCTGCCTCGTGAAGTTGCCAAGCCTGGGGATGATGCAGAAAACCTGGAAGCTACTTGTTTGAATATTCTCCCGTCTTGTCCCTGTCTTCCGAGGAACACATTCGGAGCCGTGGCTCTGGGTATGGCGGGGGCAGTGTGCCCCTTGCCCACGACTTTAGAGCGTGGGTGTCTTTATCCCTATACGTGGGCCTTGCAGCATGCCTATTTCCCTGTTTTGAGAACTTATTTCCTTGCAAGGAAGTGGGGTCGATGACTTATGACCTCCTTTGGCCTCAAGAAATATTTTTACAAAATAACAGATCGCAAACCCATAGTTGGGGCAGGGGTTGAAGAAGAGTTGAGGGTCTTGGCTACCACACTCAGGCACAGTCCCGCAAGTCGTCCCTTGCACGGCAGCACCCAGTGAGGGGGATGTGGGGAACACAGTCCGCGTGCTGCTTGGAAAGGGCATCTTGTTTTACTTTGCACCAAGCCCCCGTGAGGGGGTGAAGGCCCAGGCCAGGCTGAGCTGGAACGAACCTCCCCTGCCAGGCCATGGTGGCCATGGCTAGTTCTCAATGAAGCCAAGGCTCCTTCTCAACACATTGCTCCAACCTGCTGCCCCCAGGTGATCTGAGAGAGTCCTTTCCCTCGCTGGGCCTCAGCGTCCCCACCTGTGAAACGCGGTTGTTTCTGGTCAAACCTCACACAGCCCTGCCCCTCCTCTGGTTCCCTTCCGTGCAAGAGCTAGCTGGAGGAAAGGATGCCTCTGCTTTAAAAGGGGTCAGGAGCATAGAAGCTGTGGATTCTCCCGCCGTGTGAACTTGGCCTGGCCACTTGGAGAGAGCGGGCCACACTGCCTCCACTGCTCGTGCTCTGAGCAAGGGGCCACTGCCACTCGCTGTTCACGTGCGAATGTTGTGTGTGTGTGTGTGAATGGTTTGTGATAGACTTTTATATAGATCTTGCACACAGTTTTTAGTCTGTTTTTCAAGGAACGAAGAGCCTCTTCCATGAGCCCACCCTGCCGGGGCTGGGGACTGGGGACAGCACAGTGCCGAAAGTGGAGTCCTTGCCACCGCCGAGCTGGAGAAACCCCAGCTCCGCCGTCCCATCTCGCCACAGGCCTGGCAGGGTCGGTTCTGCAGGCGGTGGCAGCCGCGGCTGCAGAGCTGTCTGCGGAGAGGAGGCGCGGGCGCGCTCAGGGGGCTGGATTCTCAGTCTCCCAGGCCTCCCAACGCTACCTTTCCCCAGTATGACATTCATCACCAAGGGTCTCGCCAGCAAACACGTCTGTCTGTGGCCCCAGCTCTAGCCGGGCTTGCTCTCCCACCAGCTGATAGCAATCAGTTGGCAGCTTTGTTGGGGACAATTAACCCTGTGTATCTGCTGGGATGGGGGTGGGGGCTTATGTGATGTGGTGGCAGGTATGGACTTGGAGTCTGATGCTCAGTCATGGCAGAGGGGGTGGACCTTGAGAAGGGCCCCTGTGCTCCCTGGGTCCCTGATTCCCCTCTGAAAATGGCGAGGCTTTAGGAGATGCTCTGTGGAGTCATTTTAGCTTTTGGTCTGCCATCATGAGTCGGTCCCAAGTTGGCTTTTCTGTAGTGCCGCGGGCCCACAGGACCCTGTTCAGCAGCATTTCTTGCCTACCTGTCATCTAACTGGGTGCACCTTGGGGTAATCAGCTAGGCAAGCACCAGGGAGAAGTGAACTGTTCACACAAAGCAGGGAGCACTCCTGGGCTCCCAGCGGTGTCCCTGGGATGGTCCCCTCCAAGCCTCCCTGCCAGCATTCAGGCGGAGGACCAGGGTTGAGTACGTTGCTTTCCTGGGGCTGAGTTTGACATTCCTTCTGTGGGTGGAGCAGTAGTCTGTCGGGGCCCGGGCTCTCCTGATCTGTCGGGTACTGACACTTTTGTTAATTAGAGGAAGTAACTGCAATGACAGCTCTGAGCTGGGCTGGCCACTCCCATTAGCTCAATTCTCAGAGCCCGTGCCGTGGGACCTGGTCTTAAACATCTGCTTGGAGTGAGGGGACTTCTTACTTGTGAGGTCGCTGCAGCCCTGTGAGGTCATGCGTATGGCTTGGAGTCAGGCTTGTCCTCGGGAAGGAAGAGGCACAGCATGTTTTAGGCATGCCCCTTGGGTCTCTGCCCCGCATCTTAGTGATGCTTCATGGACTGATCCTGTCTTGGGCCAGGATTGGGCAAGAAGAGGGACAGAATGTGGGCGTCCGCCCCTCCAGGCCCAGCGCAGGGATCTTAGGCATCCGTGTGTTCATTGCTATACTCAGTCAGCAAACA